TTGCTGAGGCAGCCCACCGTTGCCAAGGCAACCTGCCACTGCAGAGAGAGTCCACCATAACAGAGGTGGGCCACCATTGCCAAGGAGGTTCTAACTACACACATATAAACAGGACTGCAGGGAAGATCACACGGCAGCAGGGCGGAGCCCACAACAGCTCAGCAAAGCCTCTGCAGGCAGACAGTGACTAGGCTGCCTCCTCGCTGGGCAGGACAGCCCTGAAAGTAAAAAAAAAAAGGCAGCAGCACAACAGAAACTCATTAATAAAGCCCTAAATCCCTGGGACAGAGCACCAGGAAAAAAAAAGGGGGGAGTTTATGAGTTCTGCTGCAGCAGACCTAAACGTACCTGCCCAGCAACTCTGAATGAACAACAGAGCTCACAGCTGAGGACTTGAACTCCAATAAAGGACAGACTATCTCCTAAAGCAGCTCCCTGGCCTCCGTATATCCAAAGAGTCACCTCATAAAGGAGAGAACAGACAGACATTTGGCGGGCATCCTACTGGGACAAAGATAGCAGAAGAGGGAACTCGTAGCAACCATTACTGTTCTGCAGCTGCTGCAGGTGATCCCCAGGCAAGCAGGGCCTGGAGTGGACCTCAGCAGTCCTACAGCAGAGGGGCCAGACTGTTAGAAGGAAAGCTAAGAAAAAGAAGTAAATTCAGCAGCCACATCTGGAAGTGGACTCAGAGACCCAATCTGAAAGTCAGTAACTACAATGACAACAGGTGGATAACCCCACAAACATGGGAAGAAACCAGCACAAAAAGGATGAAAACACCCGAAACCAGAACACCTCTTGTCCTAAAAGAGATCGCAACTCCTCACCAGCAAGGGAACAAGGCTGGATGGAGAAGGAGTGTGATGAAATGACAGAATCAGACTTCAGAAGGTGGGTAATAAGAAACTGCAGTGAGCTAAAGAACATGTTCTAACCCAATGCAAAGTAACTAAGAACCTTGAGAAAAGATTTGACAAAATGCTAATGAGAATGGACAACATAGAGAGGAATATAAGTGAATTGATGGAGCTGAAAAACACAACATGAGAACTTCACGAATCATGCACAAGTTTCAACAGCCGAATTGACCAAGCAGAAGAAAGGATATCAGAGGTCGTAGATCAACTCAATGAAATAAAATGAGAAGGCAAGAATAGAGAAAAAAGGGTAAAAATGAATGAACAAAGTCTCTAAGAAATGTGGGATTATGTGAAAAGACCTAATCTAAGTTTGATAGGTGCACCTGAATGTGACGAAGAGAATGAATCCAAGCTGGAAAATACTCTTCAGGATATTATCCAGGAAAACTTCCCCAACCTAGCAAGGCAGGCCAATATTCAAGTCCAGGAAATACAGAGAACACCACAAAGATATT